TTTTTTTTTTTTGTATGTTTCTTTTCAGACAGCAGATTTTAATCAGAGTAGATACTCTGGAAAGAAAGATGCAGCCTGTCAAATTGTTGGCCCCATAGAAAACTCAGGGCAGAAGTTTGCTATGTTGATGAAATTCCAGTTTCAGTATATAAAAGTCCCCTGGAAGAAGTGTCTGAACAAACATATTTTCTCCTTACTAACATATCTTGAAATTTTATAAGATAGTCTTCTGAATGGAAACTTGTAGAGGTAAAAGTAAATTGAGGTTATGGAAGTGGGTACTTCATTTCAAACGTGGAACTATGAATATGAAGCTTAAAGTTTTGTTTTATAACTACAGCTTGAATGATTAAACTTAAAATGATTTACAGCTTATTATTTTCAAAATGAAACTGTAGGCAGTGGTGTAGTCGTAGGGCCTCAGGGATGGCTTTTTAATCAATGGACATGTGATTGCCGAGCCTGTGCCTGTGTCTAGGTCTGTGCAAGATTCAGGAGAAAAGGGGTTATCGCATATTTGGCATCATTAGCAAGCAAGTTACAGCTTTGCGTTTGCAAACTGGGTATATTTTAAAACAGCTCGATTTCAAATGTCCAGATGTTGGACAGTGAAAACTGGATCACCTGAAAACAGAGTGCCTGTGGTGTCTGTGAAATTCTACGACACATTTGCCGTGCCATTTCTCTCACTACATTTAGATTAGAGAAATCAAAAAAAATAGATCAGACACTTTACTAGTCAGTGATGAGTCATTTTGAAGAGGTGCGTTGACGAGTGTGTTTCCTTCATCAGGAATCAAACTGTTTTTCTGAAATCATTGTCAGACTATTTAGTAATTATGTGATTAGTAATTTTTTCATGTTTTTATAGTATTACAAAAGGTATGCAAAAAAACCCTTTCAAAGTTGAGAGTTGTTACTTTTTTATTAATTACTTTTTATTTTAAAAATAATACATTACAGGAACCAAAAATTTAAAGAGTTCAGAAGGGTATAAAGCTAAATTTGTAAGTTGTCTTTTTCCTCAAAGCAGAAAGATTATTAGTCCTTAAGTGATTTAAAGTAACTGGCTCATATGCCAATTTGATAGGCATCTCACCCAAATTTATATAGGATTAGTAAACATAAGACACAAAAAGAGTATGTCTTCATTATGCATTATTACTGAGAAATAGTTATTCATTGTAAAGTATGAGGTCTATAATTATGCTGATAGTTTTAGAATATTTCTTAACAATACTATGTAAGTGTTCTTGTTCCTTCTTATAGATAATAATGAACAGGGCCCTTTAGGAAATTTTTAATCTTTCTTCTACATAAACAAATTACTGGTCTTGCTATTTTCCTAACTCCTTTCCCCACTTACTCTACTTAGAGCAAAATGGGACTTTATATTCCAAAGCAGAAGGAAAGCTATTTTGCATCAAGTAGTTTAAGTAATTTACCTTTTCGCTTTCCATGTGCCCTTGCATTATAATGTGCCACTGCTTTAAAGAGGTAAGTCTTTCATGTATCCTTTATTAATTTCAATTTTGTTGGACTGCAATTTCTTCTAACAGTTCCAATGTGTTATTTTGAAGAACTTGGCCTTGGAAGATGCAAAATATAATGGTACGGTAGTAATATTTTTAAATGCTTTTCTCTTTACAGAAAACACAAGTGACAAAGTTAGTATCCACATTACTGGAGAGGAAATATGGTGATTTATATATGAGTAAATAGCATGAATGTGTCCGATTTTTGCAAAATTGAGTTACATTTTGCAAAATAGCTGTCATTTAGAAGAACCATATTTAGTGTTTTCAATAAGTTTGGTTTGCATCGCTATGTTGTAGTGAATTGCTTTATGGCAAAAAATAGTTGTGTTTAACTTTTGTCATAAAATATATGTGGGGTTTGCTGTGTAGTGGTTTACAAGAGATAATGCTTGGGGAATGTAATTTGTGTGGGTTGAGACTATTAGAAGATAAAGAGAAAGATACAAGAGAAATCATAAACAGATGTACCACCAGTGAATAGCATATATAAAACTGAGTTGGTTTCCAAATTCATATAACAAACCAGTGTTTCCCAGGTAAAGTCTCTAAGAACCGTTTTTATTTTTTAAACAACGTTGCTGACAGTTTTAGACTTTTCTGTGTACTGTTGTGTGTCACTGCATAATAGAAAGTTTATGCATACCTTTGAAATTGGTTAAGAGAGATAGTTACTGACTTATTAAATGTCACAGGTAGTTGACATAGACATTGGGCATCACAGTGGTATACTTTAAAACCACGCTTTTGTGTCTGTTGGTATTGATGGTAAACTGGCTGGGGATTAATAGCCTTAAAATAGATAAAAATCACATTAGATAAGGACTTAAATTAATTTCGTGTTACGATTATTCTGAGCATGTGCTGAAATTTATCTACGTTGTAGATTAGAATGGGAAATACGGAATATTTAACCATCTTAGACACATTCAAGAGAATTAACAATCAAATTACTAGAACCTTTGTTCCAGTGTGGCTGTGGTCCCACTAATTGAATAATTAGTTCCATGTTATATACACATAGGAATATAGTGTATCAGCATACTAGTGAAACATCCTCAAACCCTAATTTATTATTTAAATTCTTACACACAAAGATTTTGACTAGTTACTAAATTCCAGTGTAACAAACAATTTGATTTGTAAAGGGCAAAAACTGGGCCTTGGAGAAATAAATTTAAGCATTTAGGTTAAATATGTAAATTCGTTAATTTATTAGGGATTGCTGTGCACTGTTCTAGGTGTTTCTCAATTCACTACGTGATTTAGTTCAATTTAATTGAATACTGACAGGTTACTTAATTTTCTCATGTCATGCAGCTTGTAAGTAATTTAAGATTCAAGCCTAGGGTTTTTGAAGCCAGTTTACTGTGCCTTCCTGTGCATCATCTGACTGTGACCCTGGCTTATTTGTTACTTTGAACTGGTGTTTGTTTTTAAATGGGTTGGGACAGTATGGATGAATAATATGCCTAAACTACAGTACTTTTTTTTTAAACAAGCAATTAGGGGATCTACCCCGACAACAAATCTGTTTGTATGGTTTGCAGAGTGCCTTCAAATATGTTAAACATATGCCTATAGAAGAAGTCTGAAAGAATGGGAAATTGTAGTCCATTCCACTGTGGAGGAAAGAGGCTTCTGTAGATTGCACATTGTTCAGGGCACAGGGGAGGTGGGCAGCTTAGCCAGGGTGAGAAGCCTGGTCTTCTCATGGTCACATTGGCACAAAAGCTGTTGCAGTATATGATGGGCCGTTCCTCTTGGGCACATTATCTGAAATATGTGAAAATATTTATTCGACATATACAAATTGGCATCTTTAGGTTGAAACCAGTCAAGTCTATACCTGCCGCAACTCACTACACCATAGAATGTTTCTCTCCCAACTTCATGTTAATATAAAACTTTTCCCCTAAACTTTAAAAGGTTTAAATATATGTCTAAAATTCAGTTCAGGGGAGGTTATTTTGAAAAACTACTTACCTGCTATTTAAAATAGTAACACAGAGGAAAGAATGCTTTGCGTTGTGGCTAAAGAGTAAGTATCTGTAAATATTGAGATCAGCTTGCCTCTGGCATCCCACCCCTATTCAGTGAAACTCAGCCCTCTGTTGAGTTTATGAAGCTGACTTTGATATATCTGTAGCAAATACAGCTAACTGCCAGTGTTGGTATTAAAACTGGTAGGCAGTTTTTGTCACTATGTTCAAAATGAATTACTAGTTACTCTGACTAAACTTCATGGCAGAAGGGTTGATTCAACAGTGTTTTCGAAAACTATGTAGAGTTTATACTTCAGTCTTCATAATAGAATAGAAATATACTTGTTTTTAATGATTGTATGGTTAATAGGCTGTGTGAATGAATTATGTTTTGAGGTTTTTCTTCTTCAGATGTTATTAATGTAGTGCCTTTACTATATCGTATCAGACATGCCTTTCTGAGCAATAGGTAGGTAACTGATAATACAAAAGTATGGGTTCCTACAAATCTGTTCTGAACTTACTGGGATTTGCTTGTCAGTAAGAGTGGTGGTAATGACAGAGGAGATTATGAAAATTGGGTGATCCAGTATGCTGCCTATATTTTCTATTATAATCACATTTTTATTAAAAAATTTTTTTTAATGTTTATATATTTGAGAGAGAGAGAGAGAGAGGGAGAGAGAGAGCATGGGCAAGGAAGGGGCAGAGAGAGAGGGAGACAGAGAATCTGAAGGAGGCTCCAGGCTCTGAGCTGTCAGCATAGAGCCTGATGCGGGGCTCAATTTCACGAACAGGGAGATCATGACCTAAGCTGAAGTCAGATGATTAACTGACTGAGCTACCCAGGTGCCCCTATAATCACATTTTTAAAAAATAAGAGAAAACATCAAATAGGCTAGCATATTATTTCTTTATAATACACGATTCAGGGATAACTCTTTGGCTTTTAGGTTTTTATTTTAATTCCAGTTAGTTAACATACAGTGTTATGTTAGTTTCAGGTATAAAATATAGTGATTCTTTTCCTTTTCTTTCTTTCTTTTTTTTTGGCTTTTTGAATTTTTATTTTAATGATTCAGGATAATTTTCGTTAGAAGGTTGTATTTGCTATTAATATATACTTCATATATTATGTGAGTGAAAGACTTTCTCTTATTCTGCTCTGATTTTAAGTGATTCTAAAATGTTCTGTTTCTACATATGACATCTAATAATTATTTTATTCTCTGCCTTTTGTTAGGAACATAATAGGAATTCGGATTCCTGCTAAAAAGAATTTATATAAACCTAGAGATATTTTTAAACAGTGGATCTTTCTCTGTTAACAGTGTAACAGAATTTTGACTAACATGTGTTCATTTTTGTCTGTGTTTACATGTTTATTTTGAAGCATGATGTTTGTGTAATATCTTCATGTAAATTAATTGTTTTAAATTTCATTATTTCCTTTTTGTTTTCTTCTCATCTTTTTTCTTTTCTCTTTCTTTTTTTTTTCTTTGCTTCATCTGTGTCTATTTTCCTATATCCTGGGAACATCAATGTCTTATCTACTCTGTCACATCTTTTTTGTATGTATTACTCCTCCTTCAGTAACCCTGGCACCGTGTAAGTACCTAATCAGTGGTTCCTTTTTGTAATTTTCATCATTGTCTCTCTGTAACTTTCCATCCTGCTTTTAGTTTAATACTACCAGCAAACTTTATTAGTGTCTTTTTGCAATAATTTTCACATATGTTATAAGGAGCATAGGAAACATGTTTCTCCTGCTAGAGAACTTCATATAAATCAGTGGGTGTGTTTTCCACTTCTTCAGTGGAAAAAACTTAGTAAGCCGAACCTTCAGGGAAATAAGTATTGTAGACAGTGTATGCTGGAGTTAGTGACCTCGTTTGGGCTTTCCTTGTTAATTTTTTTTTTTTTTTAATTTGAATGTAAACTTGCTAATTGTGAATATCTACATTTTGAAATAAATTATTTGCTCTTGATAGTTAAATTTATGTTCTATCCCAACTATATTTTAAAAAATAAAATCGAGATTACTCTCTCCTTTAATCATAGTCATCAGAGTGTAGAGTTTAGAAACTTCGTATCACTTAACACAAGGCCTTAAGCCGTGGTGAATATCAGAGTCTAAGGTGTACCATGCTTCCTGCAAGTATGTCATGGCTAAGAAGTGTTCTTAAGTGGTGTCATTTTATTATTCTTAGTGTACTTATTCTTAGCTTGACACTATTGTTTTGTATTTTTATAGACCAAATCTTTTGTAGAAAATAAAAGAGTTTTATACTGGAAACTGACACCACTTAAGAGTAAACTACATTCACTAACTAATTATAGAGAAGTTTAAACTGTAAGTTTCATAGCTAAACAAAATTTTTCATGTAATTGCATGAGATAAATTGTTGTCTGTTTAGGAAATTATATCTTCCAAATACAGTGTGTTTATGAAGTGCTCTTTGCCTATTCTAATTTTTTAAAATTCTGTTTTAAAAAGGATTAGGTTTTGTTTAAAACAAAGTAAACGTAAATTAGTAATTAGTAAAATATTAGATATTTCACTTACAGAATCTTAGAATTCTACCATAAACTATAAATGTTACTGATTTTATGTGTAAATATTATTGATTCTGTTTTTTTATGTAAGCGGATGACCCATAATCTTAGAATATGCATTGCAAATGATGTTTTTACTAATCATGAAAGAAAACACATTATGTGATCGTTCCTATGCATTAGGTACTTTGGAAAGCACTTGACATACGCTGTCTACTTATTCATTCCTCAAAACAACTCTTTAAGGATACAATCCCCCTTTCTCAGATGAGTAAAATTGAGATTTAGAGAAGTTAAATGACTTGCACAAAACACACACTAAGTGAAGAATGTAGTGCTTGAAACTATTATCTGTTCCTAAAGCCATTGTTCATATTAATCTTATCATGTTCTTCACCGGGCAGAAATTCTTTCAGTGTACTGAGACAGTTTTGATAGTGTGACTATTCAAATGACAACAGTCAAGTGGCATTCTGACAGTACTGTGATTTTCGAGCAGTGAGTTACACCCAACAGATGTTGCCACCCACATCTGACACTCTGAGCCCTTTCTCTTCTCAAATCTTAGTCTGCTAGTCGAGACTTGGGCTCCTTTTTCTCTCCTGAAAGGATACTCATAGACTCCAAAGGTTTGCATTTGTCATATTTGGGGGCGGGGGGTGGGTAGAGGAAGAGAACGTAGTGTTCATTACCTTCAGTAGATCTTAGGTTAGGATGTTAATATATATTATAAATTCCTTAATATTTATGCTTTGTTCATAGAAAAATGAATGTTCTTAACAAACTCAAAGTTCTTGAGCTCTGTAGTGTACAAAATCCCTTTCACATTTATTATTTCATTTAATGCTCAGAACAGTGCTACTCTGTATGTGATATTCTTATCTGATAAAGGAAAAAAAATAAGCTCAGTGAGATTCACTTGTCCAGAATCACATATCTAAAAAAGTCACAGAGCCAAGATTTACATCTTGGTGTATTGATAAATATTTCATTGGTTTCTGATATGCTACACTTCTTATTCTCTGCGCTGACCCCACACACAGCTTTATTCAGGATGAGGGTTATCTATACACAGGAATGAGAAAACTGTAGAAAGTAACCGTTCTGACCCTTTTCAAAATTGGAAATTTTGGAATTGCTGTCTTAGCCTGTACTAAACCATTCTTAGTTCCTGGGCCTGGTGAAGATTTTTCATTTAATTTTGTAAAAACCAATACATTTTGGCAACCTATTGATATTTAACGGTGGTTGTGAATGAATACAGTCCATATCTGTGTTTTGTTAGGCATAAGATAGATATAAGAACAATACAAGTAATTTCAAAAAAATTTTTAACTACTGTGGACTGTTCAGTTCTCATTATTTTCCTTATTTTCTTATTCTTTTCCTTTTCTTTATGCATGGAATCTCTCTTCTGCTGCCTTCTTCTGTCAATTAAAAGGAAAACTCCACCTAAACGGTAACCCTTCTCTTGAATATTATGTTAACATGTGAATACCTTTTTTTTTTTTTTTTTACTAGTTAAAGATAAAGCAGGTCTACTCTAGTTTAGAAGGATGCTTTTTTAAGAAAATTGAGGCTGAGTGCCCTTGGAAAAGCATTAGATACAAAAAAGAACATTGATATTGAATGTATTAATTACAAATTATTTGGCAGAGGATATTTTATCCTTAACATAATTTAAAAGTGTTTAATTCTTTCTTTCCCTCTTAACCTTAGTCCACCAAGAAAACACATCGTGGAGCGCAACACGGAGTTTTATCACATACCGACTCACAGTGATGCCAGCAAGAAGAGACTGATGGAGGACACTGAAGACTGGCGTCCGAGGACTGGAACAACTCAGTCTCGCTCTTTCCGAATCCTCGCCCAAATCACTGGGACTGAACATCGTAAGTGAATACCTAGGGATTCTGATAGGTGAATGGTCTCTGCCATAGAGAATAGCATTTAGACAGATGGGCAATTATTGGAAAACAGTAATTTTCCTGAGGCAGTTTACACTTAAACTATGCCATGCATAATATGGGAGATGTAAATAAGAAGCCAGCCCAGGTCACGGTGAAAAGTGTTGCAGTAGTAGCAGCAATGACTATAGTATAGCCGGTGACAGCATGATTGCGAATGTTGTTTAGTGGCTCTGTGCAACTTGACCATTTGGTATTGATGGGTACAGGTAATTGCTTAAATGATTTTTCAAGTTAAAAAAGTAAATTAATATTGGATGTTGCTTGTTATATTTCAGTGAAAGAATCGGAAACTGAAAATACAAAGAAGGCAAAGTAAGTTGTCCGTTTTTTTGGTAAATTGAATGCTTTCCTTTCCTGAATGGTCTCAATTTGTTCAAGTGTAATGGTATGGCGTTTTGTGTTTGCAGCTAGAAGCTAAGCATTTAACTTCGGTGTCTTGTATGGGACTTAAATGTGGGACTTAGAAAACTTACGGATTTTTAAATTAGTAGATATTTCTGGATTTCATGTGTAAGGATAATTTCCTTTAGTATAGAAATAAGTGGGCAGAGGAGTATATTTGGGGATGCTTTGCTAACACTAGAGATCTGTGTGAATGAGTTTTATGTGTTGTCTTGTAGTAATTTCATTTTGGGCATAAAAATGGATGTTTCCAGGAGGGCTCTATAGATTAATGTCTGCATTTATAAAAATGTTCTACTCTTAAAATCTTTGCTATTAAATAAAACAGCTATATGAAATTAAGCTTTTATAAAGCATGTTTTCTGCATGATGATCTAAGTGTAGAAACTTTTTCTTTCTCTTTCTTATGATTCTTCTATCACTTCTCTTCTTTTCTTTTCTTCTTTTATTTCCACAGGGAAAAGATACCCCTTCACGTCTTTAGTCCCAAATACACAAAATTACGTGACTGGCACCATGAAGTTTCAGCACGTGCTCTTAACGTACAGTGATTTATGAGTCTTGCCCCCTGCCCCAAGCAGCCAGCACATACCTTTTCATTCAGTTTTTCTTTTTTTCCAACCTCATAGCAAAATCTGTATTAAATTTGCCTTACAAAAAAAAAAAAAAAATAGAAACCTTTTCTATACTTTTCTAACCATTTCTTGCTGTTGTGAAAAAGAGGAAGATGAATTTGTTTTGTGCTAATCAGTAGCTCACAAATGTTAAACCAAGAGAGCAAATTAAGGGACTGGATCTGTTCGGTGGATTTCCATGGGTGTCCATTGTTACTAGGGCAGTGACCTTGGAAAAGGAATTCTTTCTGTAAGTTGAATTTGGTTGGTTGTGTGAAGCAGAGACAGATGAGCAAATAATGTCCTTGTCTAATTTGGAAAATACTTCCTTTATGTTACTACATTTCCTAAGATTACTTTTAAATTCATTATTACATAATGTTCAACGTGGGTTGTAAATTACTCCTAAGCAAATGTGAGGAGGTAAGAGAAAACAGAGAAGACTGTATTAGAATAGTTTGTTGTAGATTTGGGTATTTTTTTTAAAAGCAGGTACTCAGGATGGCTCCGAAGAGGAGGAGGCCCAAATTTGGCTCCTATTACAGGAAAGCAGAGAATTCTGCCCCTACTTGCAATGGGGAAATAGAGTGTTCTTTTGGTTTGGTTAGTTTCAAAAATCCTCCTTGTTACCAAAGGAAATATTTCTAAACTGGTGGATGTTTTTAGGGTATAAACAACTTCCAGGCATTAACTAGTAAGAAATAGAAAAGATAATTTTGCTTTGTTTTTAAATGAACATAAAGTAAGTTATAAATGATTCTTTATGTGACATCAGAGAAGTATTTTACTGAGTGATAAATAAACAATTGTGTGTTCCTGCTGTTCCTAGGAAACTATGTTTTGGGCAATACATGCAAGCTAACATCTGACCAGAAATGCTTTCTGTTTTGTAATATAATGTATTATATATTAGTTATACATTCAATAATAAATGCATTTTGAAGTTTGGAAAAGTACTGTAATAAAGTTGCCTTTAACTTAGCTTTGTAATTGTTTTCTGTTTCCCTGAAGCTAGTAATCGTGTCATCTAAGACTTGTTACACTACCACTTACATAAAATAAATAATTCTCTTGACATTTCATTAGGAAAACATTTTTAATTTTGCGAGGCTGCTAAAATGAGTGTGGACTATGATAAAGCCCTGTATTTTTTTTTTTTTTTTTTTTTTTTTTTTTTTTTTTTTTTTTTTTTTTTTTGGTGTCTGAATTGTCATGTTACTTAACATAATGTCTTACGTGAGTAACAAGAAGATCAGTTATAAGTAAGCTCTATACCCAATGCGGGACTTGAACTCAACAACCCTGAGATCAAGAGTTGCATGGTGTATACCCATGGAGCCAGGCAGGCACCCCCATTCAGGGCATTTTTGTTTTTCCAGGTTTTTGTTTTTTTGTTTTTTTGTTTTGCTTTGATATCATCATAGACTAGGTCAACTGCCTGATAATTTGGAGAAACTAACATTAATTTCAGTTAGTGATTACTATTTAAAATTTAGCATACCAAGTGTACTTAAAAATAATTCTAAGATTTACCTGTGCTCATTTCCACTGTACTTCATAATATGCTAAGGTGTCTTTCTTTTACTGTAGCAGTTCTTCTTCAGATACTGCTTGTGATTTTATGGTCCTGACATCAATCCATTATTACTATGTCTCTGGCCTCTGTACGGAAATAGACCTTCTTAGACCAGGCTTTCTTATACCTAATACTTCTCATTCATCTCAAAAGATGATATTTGAAAGTAGGTGGAATCAAATTCTCATGAAAATAAATGGTGGAATAAACAAGGTATTTCCCACCAGGAGCCAAATTTCCAACTACAGAGTTGAGAGAGAGTGCAACTAGATGAGAGTTTTAAGTAAATAAGAGAATTTCTTCCTAATAAAGGCAGGAGAGCATGTATAGAACTTTATACCTTGAAATAAGTACAATTGGAAATAAGAATTTAATACCTTCCTAATTAAAAAAAAAGTATTTAATGTCTCATTGAAAGCATACACTTAGATAAGTGAAGGATCTGTATTTGAGTATGAGTGTGAGTGTTCAGTCAGGATCACAAAAGACATTCCATTTGACCCCATCAGAGGTTGAATTCCTGTGTTCAGTTAATCTTCTGGGACATCTTATATTCCTAGCTTAAAAGCTAGCCAAATATTGTAAAAGCTCCTTGCAAAAATATTATTGTAAGTCTGGTGACCTAATTTATAGCTTGTTTTTGTTTGTCTCTCTGATACAGAGTTTCTTTATCATAGGCTTGTTTTTAATGTACAATTTGAAAGTTAAGAATTTTCAACGTTTTTACAAGGTTTTACCAGTTACAAGATGGAATGTTACCCACAGAGTGAATATTTTTGTTCCCTTGAAAAATATATTGTTTGTGGAAACGGAAATATACTCATTTTGCACATCATTATGCCCTTTTGGAAGACTGAGATAGAAATATTCTAGAGAGCTTATTTAATAAAAATTATGATATTAAGATAGAGAGTAGCCATCCCATCTTTTATTCAGATTTATTCAGAAATTTGGGTGAATTGATTTCCCCAAGTGAAAAAGTTCATAATTGTCGCACTTCCGATGTGTATTTAAAATCATATAAATCACAAATATTCATTTATTGCCTGAGTTATTCTTTCACACAAATAATTACTGAATACTTAAATGCCAGGCACTGATATGAACTAGGGATTAAATAATGAGTAACAGATAAATATATAAATAAAGTGATCTGAGATAATTGTGTTACTAAGATAAATTCATATAAAGGAAATTTGGCTTAGGGAGGGATTACTTGGGTTGTGTGGCTCTCTGAGGAGATGACGTTAATGCCATCACCTGAGAGAGGAAAAAGAGTCAGCCATGTGATGACTTGGGGTCACCGTTCAAGGCAGACGAAACGAGTGTGGAAACCCTGAGGCGAGCAGGAGTGTGGCAATTACACAGAACGGAAAGGACAGTGTAGCCAAAATGTGGTATGTGACCGGAAGCATGATATAAAAATGTCATACATATGCGTATAACTTACATTCTCCATACTGTCCACAGCATATGGAATGGGAGGTTGTCTTCTGTCTAACTACTTTCAAGACAGATTTAAAAATAAAGAACCAAGGTGGTATGTCAAAGGTTTGTCAAAGCTAAATAAAGTACATTCACTTATTCGTGCTGCTCTCAGCATAGGTATCAATTTAATGCTTTTCCCATTAGACCCACTGGAAACTTACGAAAAGGAGGCATTATTATAGTATATGTTGGTAACATATTTGTAGGGAACAGCTATAAAACATACATAAAGGCACTAAAAAACAAAACTTCCAAGATACAGAAATTAGACATATATCGGGGCACCTGGGTGGCTCAGTCAGTTAAGCGTCCAACTCTTGGTTTCAGCTCAAGTCATGATCTTGGAGTTTGTGAGATTGAGCTCCGCATCAGGCTCTGTGCTGTTAGCACAGATTGGGATTTTCTCTCTGTCTGTCTGCCCCTCCCCTGCTTGCTTGTGCGCACGCTCTCTCTCTCTCAAAAATAACCTTTAAAAAAAAAAAGAAATTAGACATGTAATACTTTATTCATAGTTTAGTGACGGATTTGACAGTTTAGTTCTGTCTATAAAACTTACCAAGAATTGTTTGAACTCATTCCTTTTTGTTTACCCATTCAAGAAAATTACTTAAACCAAGTAATTCCTTGCTCATTCTTTCCAAAATAGATGTCAGTACTCCAGGATAGTAGGAAGCAAGGAATGATAAATTCTGAATCTGAGACTCCCGATTTGTAACTCACTAGTTTCTACCCCTGAGTTTCCACTTCAAAATAGGAAGTTCGAGTCAGTGGTGGACTCTATGAAGCCCTTCCAGATACTGCTTCAGTAGAGGACTTGATAACCGCTGCTGCTGCTGCTGCTGCTGCTGCTGCTGCTGCTGCTGTGTGTGTGTGTGTGTCTGTGTGTGTCCGTGTGTGTGTGTGTAGGGGGCACATAGCCTTCATTCATCAGCCCCTTCATATGTCACCTCAGCTGCAGATGCCCCTTTGTCCAAAGCCACAGCTTCATGAGCTGCATACATGCAGTGAGCTGCCTGGAAGGAATGGGGGGAGTGAAAAGCCTGGTCGTTTCAGCCCAGGTAGGGACAACCTGGAAGGGTCATTCTAGATTGTAAATCCCAATTTGGACCCGACTTGCATGGGTTCTTCTCACTTCTTATTTTCATCTTCCCTTCATTCTTTCTGTCTTTGTTGCTTCTAATCCCTTGAATTTTCAACCCGGATCACAAACAGCATTTAGGGAAATCATTAAA